AAACCACCCTCAGCGGATAGCAGGGAGCCCCTCACATGGTCCAGCTCCAGGAGGGCACGAGCCCATTGTGAACCCAAACACTGACTTGGAAGGAAGCAGAAACCTGGGCCTCCCTGGAGGACTCACGCCTGTCCAAAAGAAGCTACTGAATCCACAAGAGACTGAGGATTGCCTTATTCTGGGGTTTTTCTATCATTTGGGCTACTTGGTAGGGAAAAATGACTGACAACACAGAGAACACGTTTGGTTTTCTCTGGTTCATCTCAGCCAGTACCTTACGCTCTATGGGGGGAACCTAGAGACTCCGGACCTCGAAAAGGACTGTGGGAGAATCAGAGCAGGTGGGTCCTGTGTGGTTCCATGTGGTGATTCTATGGCGGTGTCTGCACCAACCCCGGGATTTGGGGGTTTCTCCCCCCACATACTGCCGTCCTGCATTTTAGATGAGCTGTGGTTTAATAAAACTGCCTAGTCGCCAAGACAGGGCTCTGCACTTTCATATCTGTGCATAGTTTACATGATGTTATTACATTTGGCCTATACTCCACACTCAACACCCATAGTGTATCTGCAGGGCCATTTGTTTAAAAAAAAATCAGAACAAAAAAATGGTGGCTTAAAAAGAGAATGCGTATTGGCCTTAATAGGTCTAAAAACCTTTAGGAAGGACAGAGAAACAGAACACAGAATCTGACACCCAGAGACAAAAGTTCCCCGGAACGTTCATACGTCTTTATAAAAATCTGGTTTGCAAGCCCTTTAATCGCAATTTGAATTGCTCAGACTAGTATTTGCGAATACTGGCCAGTCTCATCAGGTCCCCGGCCTAGGAATGAAAGATACAAATTTATAAAAACTGTGATTTTACGAAAAAGTATGAGGAGAAAGCTTATTATTATAAGATCTGCATCAAACGTTTTTGAATATTCTGATTTATATCAGAAGTTGCATACTTTTAAATATTTCAAGTGATTGTTTACTCTTTCCATTTTTTAAATCATTTCTTTGTTTAAAACCAGTAAATTTTACGTCATGTCCTATTTGGGATATTGCAGAGTCCAAATTATCAGAGATTCCAAGTTATAAGAAAACACTGATTATCTGATAGCCAGATCTAAGCACTTTTTTCTTAATCTGTAGTATTATCTTGTACTAGTAATTGTATGTCTTCACTTGAGAAATAAACATCTTAATACTGAGAATAGTTTCTGAGATGCTCAGCCATTCACTGTATTGCGAGGACCAGACAGAATCTTTCCTGGCTCCACCAACAGGTGGAAGAAATATGATCCATGTCTCAGCCTGAAAAAAGGTGAAGAAGGACAAACGTCCAGCCAGCCCAGCTTGTTTCTTGTTTGCCACACACAGACAGTACTCTGAAATGTCATGTTTGATCAAGTTAAATTTACGGCAATCTCATTTGTGCTGTCACTGGTGAGTGACTTCCCGCCTTTAGAGAGCGTGATTTTCAGCATCTGGTCATAAATGGAGTGGTCCTTCTCTCTGAGAATGATTGTTTACGCCGGCATTTTGGGGGAACAAAAAATAGGAATGAAATGTGCATATGTTTCTTCCTAATCAATTTCAGACAGCTTCCAGCCCAGGTGTCTCACCACCACGCCTGCGCGTACATATCACGTGACAAAGAGAACAGCTACCAGGTGCTGGAAAGTAGCATCTGAAATGCTACTGCGCCAGGCTGATGAAAGGTCACTGACAGCAACAATCATCATAAAAACAAAGGGCTATTTTCACACACAAAATGTAGAATCAAAGTCCAGTGTGGCTTACTGTAAGGCAGGTTTTTGGTTTGAGTTTTTTGTTATTTTTTTTTTAACTTTTATCTGGATAAACTTGGAGTACAAAGTTTCTTCAGGAGATTTTTGAGAAGGAGAAAATGAAGTCAATATTACAGCATGTTCTTACTTAGAATACACAGATTTCAACAATCTTGCTATTGTGTGAGAAATATTGGGCAACTCGTCATATCAGGAAATATCAATTTAGTACTGATGGAAACAAAATCAGCCAACATGAACAGTCAGACCCCATTTGACTGTAATGTTATAAAATTTCAAGAACTTTACATTTTTATCTAACAGCGTCAATGTTCGTGAGCAGGTATATGAATAAATGTGTCTGCGTTTTACCTCTGAAAATCTATCAGGTTTGAAAATTTATACATTCTGGCATTGCCAGCAATTTATGTTTCTCTGCATGAAAAAAATAAAGTGAATGACATCACTGTGGACACTTTGCTAAATGTATTACCTGGAATTCAACCTCAGGCTGCAAAATGGGAACGCTGGAGGAACTCAACTAGAGAGTTCAAAAATAAACTCCAGGAGCACTTGGTCCAATGTTGAGTGATGATACTGACACGTTACTCTCTCTGCAATAACCAACCTGTCCACTAGGGAGCTCACTTGACAAACAGGTGGTGACACACTCAGGATCATGATTGCAGAGCCCTGGGGCCCCATGCCTGTCCCTGGAAGCCCCTGGAAGCCCCTGGAATACCCCCAACTTCTCTGCTCATCCCTCTTCAGAGACCTCTTTCTTGCATTGCTTGTCAAGTCTTTTCTAAGAAATATTTCACTATTTCTCATAAATTAATAGGGGACAAATAAATACATAAATAAAATGTGCAAGTAAAAAACAAATACATAAAACGTGGCATGTGCAATAAAGTCTAATTAATTAGTATTTGCTATGTGTTGGATCAGAAGTACTGTAAAGTCATAAAATGCCTTAAATTTTGAATTATATGGCTTTGGGAGTTTATACAGTGACTCAAATATATACACACACACACATGCAATCAAAAATTATCTCCATCAGGTAGGTGCAGTGATGGTTATTATGTGTGAAATTCTTGGTGGAAGTTGAGCTATTTGGGACATTTCTAATTTTTAATGACCATCTGGAAGCTCAGTGACTTCTGGACAAAATAAGAAACCGGGGAGTTAAGACAGAGTCACCTTCTTTAAAACCTCCAAAGAAAGAAATTTTAACCACACTGTCAGGCAGTCTAACATAATTTTCATCTCTAGGTCATACATAAGATACTCAAAAAGGCTAAAAGTACTGCATACGAAGAATCATCACCATTTCACTCACCCACATTTTATACCATCCACATTTTACATCGCAATAAGCTAAACAAAAATGAATGCTTTCCAGCATTTACCAAGGCAAAGGAAATGCCAAAAAGGACTCTGGGATGCTGGCTTTTAACAGGAAACACACACAGATAATCCTTCAGGAGGAATGTCAATAATTTGTGCTAGCCAAAGCATGTTGGAGAAATGGGTCTGAAATCCAGTGGTGGTATCCAGGAATATTTGATGACAGGTGCACTACTGGCAACCAGACAAGGAACCACCATGAAAACAAAAACCTCATCAGTTGATTGCCACTCTCTTAAAATGATTCAAATTTGCAAAGAGAGTAGTTTGAATACAGAAGATAAGCTTTGGACTTCGAGTTGTAGCGATGATTTATCATACTCTGAATTATTAATTTTTTAAATTAAATATAATGGAAGTGAGTTCATCTTAAACTTCAGGATTTTCCCTTCTGATGTTTATAAACTTCCCAGTGCCCCCTCACTGACATCACTGGAGGCCTGAATCGTAACGATGTTCTTCATGGACAAATTAGAAGCACAACACACAAGCCCCTGGGGCTTCTTAAAACTAATTAAATATGGTGCGTGTTTGTTTATTTATTTATTTTTACAATTTTAGGGCAATCACTGGAAAGATTCAATGTTAAGCTGATACTAGACTAAATGCCAGACCAAAAATGGATAATTTGATCATTTAGTTCATCTCGCTGAAATCTGGTTTCAATGAGAAGATACTTTCACTGGGGCGCTAAAAATGACCATGAAGGATGCTCTGAGGAGTAAATATCTGGCCACCAATATCTTCCTGGTAAAAGACCATGAAGGTATAGGTAATTAACGGACATGCCCTCCCACCCTGAGCTCACTGAATTTCCTCACTTACATGCTTACTTTTCCTTAACGATCTGTTTGTTCACTTGCTAGGTTTTTTTGCATTTGCTTTTTAAGGACACTGGAAAATTCAAGTGACTTAAATTCTGACTTTAGAAATACCAAATAAAGGGAGAGAAACACTCCATTCCTTAGTCGTACCTCCAGAATTTACACTAGCACGTTTACATGGGACACAGGTAATTTTAACTTCTACTTTCTGAATTAACCGTTCACTAAAAAAAAGTTAACCTATCCCTTAAAAAGTAGGAAAACATTTGAGTTTTAAGCGGATGCGTTCACTTATTTCATCCCCTGCATTATTATTTATCAGTAGAAAAAATAATTTACTCAACGACACTCAAGTAGCAAAATGAATTAATCTCTCTTCAAAAAGTGAGTCATTAACTCCCTTCCCACTAATAGGGAGGGAATCTGTATTTTCAGCCGCAGCCTTCACCTGCTGTCCTCCAAGGACAAGTCCTGGGACCGAGTCATTTTCCCACCAGATCCCAGGGCAGTGCCACATCTCACAGATGTCATGCAGTGGCTGGTTCAGTTTTCCCCAGCGACTGCAACAGCGACTCCTTCATTTGTTATTTTAGTTATTCAAAACCAGCACACTTGACTCGTCACCCTTCTGTAACCTGTTCTGCAACTAAGAAGGGATGATAACACTGAAAATCCTCTAGACTCCAGTAATTCCCCTCTCATCAATCTCATTGATGAGAATTTGCTGCCAATCAATAGGGACGGAAGGTATCACAACACACACACACACACACACACACACACACACACACAAGAAGAAAGCTTGCAAATGATAATACAATGAACCTACTGCTTCTTTCAATTACATTAAACTCGGTATCATTAATTTTGGAGCTTAGAATGAATTTGAGCTAAGAGTGATAGTAAGTCTCACTGTGAAAGAATCATGCTGAATTAACAAGACAGAAGAAAAAAAAACAGAAGAAGAAGAAGACAGTAGCAAACTCACCATCTCTGCGGTTAAGACTTGCAAAGCCAGGACCGTGGCTGCTGGACAGCTCTGAGGAGCTGCTGAAGGCAGCCCGGGGCAAGGAGGACGCCAGAGGAGCATCACAGTTATCGTGGGGGGGGGGGGGGGAGAAACACCGTGTGCAAGTCAATACATTGATTAAAGCTTTCCTGTCATCTCTTCCTCTCCTCTTCCCTCCCTTTTCCCTGACCCCCTTATTTCCCTCCCACACTCCCTCCTCTTCTTCCTTCTTCCCCTTTAATGAGCAGGCTAAGAAAATGCTAGAACCTCGATCAGAGGTATGTTAGTACATGTTTAACGGCAAGCTCTTAAGGCAAATAGAAACCCTGATTGCTAGCATTTGCCACTTTTCTTGGTGTGAATACTCGTGGCCAATTCAGAGCTATCAGCGTGATGTCACCGCCCCTGAAGTTGGAAAGGGGCATGCCCACATCACATCATTATGTAGTATTTCCACGGCGCAGACACAAGCCATGTAAATAACCCCGAGAGCACGGATAACATCAGATGCCATAAAATAAAGTAGGAAGTGGTGTTCTGAGAATTTATTACTTGTGTCTTTAATAGGATTCATTTAATTATAAGTAGATATGATTTAATTTTTAATAATGGTTGTATTTTTAACAAATGGCTTACAAAATTCATGAAAAGTTAATGATTGGCTTTTGCCAGATGCTAAAAATTGGTTCCAGGACATCACTTCTTATTGGGAAAATATTAAAAATATTTCCTTGAAAATCAGAAAGAACACTTTAACAGGCATGACTGGTTCTACTGAACACGGCACTGAGAGTCCTGTCGGTACATAAGAGAAAATTTAAGAATTAAAAACACAAAATTGGAAATAAAAAGCCACTGTTATTTCCAGACGATATGATTGTGTCGGTAAAAATTCTAAAAGTCACTGGCTACCTTAATAGTTTATTATACAAAACCTGCTTGTATTTCTAAAGCTATCCATAGATTGAAAATAAACAGAATGACAAATAGTAATTAATACGTAAAGCATCTAAGAATGAATCTTACAAAATTTGCAAGACATTTCTGGGGATTATTATAAAAATTATATTGAAAGACACTAAAGAAAAATTACATAAATTCAGACTACAATGATTGCAAATCGGAAGACAGTATTTTCAAGGTACCGGTTTTCCCCAGTTTGATGTAAATATTCTTTAGAAGACGGGGTTAAAACCCCAGGGAGGGTTTTTCATAGAACTTGAAGCAGTGAACCTCAAGGCTCAGGGGTTCTTAACATCCATGTGATTTAGGGAGTCTGTTGAGATAAACTTTAAAATTATCTCTTTATTTTCACTAACTTCTAGCTAAAATTCTGCATATTCTTCAATCATGAATGTAGACAAACCACCCTGTATTCAGGAGGGCTTGAGCATCTGTTACCAACATAAGTTACAGATTATTTTAATAGCAATCATTGCTGTCACAGACACCTAGAAATACTGTTTGTGTTTTTTGTTATGTCTCATCTGTGTATGTAAAGGGGTCCCAGGGATCTAAGTGACCTCCTGGAAGTCACACAGCTGGCTGAGAGGAAGTGAGGAAACTCTCCATCAACTGTTTCACTTGAGAAGCCTGCTCCCTTCCCAGCCTTAGCCCCACCATGGCTTCCTTTCTGAGTCTCCCCAGACACTCCCCCTCAGTCCACATCACACACATCTTTCTCGTCTCACCGCTCTGGGGGTCTCCCCTTACTGGGTTGGAAACTTCATGAAGACCAAATGTAGATTTTGGAGCCAGGCTGGGGGTGGAGATGGCAGTTACCAATTTCTACTCTTGGGATATCACTAACCCTCCCTAAGCCTCAGTTTTCTCATCTGTACAATGGGGATATCAAACAACTGCAAAACAGGGAATCACAGAACTAATAGGATTTTCATCAGGAGTAAAAGGGTTTGCTTTGGTTATTTTCATTACGGTAAGACAAGTCAGTACTTAAGCTTCTTCAAAATATTCTATAAGGATTTTCCTCATAGACACAGAAGGCAGCATTTAAAGCTCCAAACCATATTCTCATTTTTTGTTCTTTCTTTAAAAGAAGGCATATAAAGCTTAGTCTTAAAAAAAAGTAACAGGGATAAGAAGTAATAGCTTTTGTGATGCAATCTTTCCTTTCAAGAAACAATTTTATAAAAGTGCTTTAAAATGATAATTTTCTTTACAGCCCAAATTTAGAGGTTTCAAAATCGGTTGTTCCAATTTACATCCACACAAACAAATCTGAGAAAGTGTATGATCAAAAACTAGGTGACCATGGCCAGTAAGGTACTTAAAGAAGAGCCTCTCTGTATGTGGACAGTGGTTTCCATGTTTTCACCGTGTTTCTAACTAAATTACAACCAGGTAAGGTGAAGGCTCAGATGTCATACAAAATCTCCATTAACTGTTGTTTTCAATCTGAAATGTCCATTTTTCTCACCATGATTCCTAGAGCAAAAATTAAGACTCAGTTTTCTTTTTCTGGCATCATTGTATAATATTTATTTCCACTAAACATCATTCTTGTCAATAATCTGATAAATACTATTTCTATCCAAAAAAAAGATAAATCCTAAAATGCATCAAAGCTACAAGAATTATTCATAAATAATTGTTTTTAACCAATGAGATGGCAAAACAATTGTAACGAACAACTATTTACCTCTTGGGGGAAAATCGGAGGTGAGCACAAGTAATAAGCTTATAAGAATTAACTAAGGAAAAATAGTATTAACAGTTAAGTAGGCTAAAGCAATTTTATTTCTCTTCATAATAATGACTCACATTAATAGGAAATGATTCCATGAAATAATCTCTTTTGAAATGCACTTACTTCTTTAAAAGTTCAAATGTACTCAAGGTGAGGTGCTCAGAAAAGCTCAGGAACGAACTCTAAAGGGAAACTGATTATCCATTTTATCCATTCTATGGTGTCTTAGAGAAAAAACAAACACACCGTAATTGTTCATGATTTATGTATGACTCAGATCAGAGTGCTAGGGACATCTTTGTGTGCATGTTTAGACAATAAGTTCTATTTATGAAACACTCAAACCTTATCTTAGTATTTATACCTACTAGAATGCCATTCTAATCATTAGGTCCATTGTTCAGCCAACAGAACAGTATTATACTCAAACTATATACATTTTTATGGAAGTATAGTCAGTTATGATGTGTCAGTTTTTGGCGTACAGCATAATGTCCCAGGCAAAGACATTATTATATTTTAACTCCTTTGCACCTCTCTCTACCCAATCAGCCTCCCTCAAGACACCCAAACATACACACACACACTCAAGGATCGCTCCCCCGCTTCCCCCGCCAATTCATCACTCCTAGAAGTAGTGCATTTAGCTAGCTTTATCAAGCTCTTGAGCTGCCTGAGAATGTATGAATGTTTAAATAAAAAAGGAATTACAACTCTGGTAACTGAGGGTGGTACCTGATTTTACGTCTCAGGGCAGCAGGTCACTTCCACATTTACCCAAGCAGTAATTGCACTGCGTGTTCACAAACTCCAGAGAAACCACCTGCTGCGTCCTGACCACCCCAAGTAATGAGATAATGCTGAAAGCAGCAGAGTTGGGGGCACATTAGGTCTAAACAACAGCGGTAGGTGACTATTCAGGTGATAAAAACTGCCACGGGTTCCAAACAAAGTTCACCAGCCCCTTCCTCCCGCAGTGGCCCAGGGAACACGTGGCATAGGAATTCCTTCTCCACGGGTGCCAACCACTGAGGGTTGGCAACTAACTGATGGGACCACAAGTGACAATCTCTGAAAGCCCCATCTTCATAACATTTAGGAACACATGAATGTAAACATCTGCTAGACCACTTATCATACCCCTCAAATGGCACATCCGAAAACATTCTACTTGCCAGTTTAAAAAGCAAACTTCTTTCATGTTTTTTCTCCATGAGTCAGATACAACTACCACACTTTCCGTGAGTATCTGACTCCAAAGCACTACCAAGTAAAAACTTAATGAAAGCCATAGCCCAGATAAGATATACCATTTTCTCAATTTGTGATTAACAGCCTTGGAGGGTGGTTTTTTTTTTTTTAAACTGGTCCGTTAAATGGATACACATTTAAATAAAAATTATATAGTTTCTAATTTTAAACTATTTAAACTGTCAAATGCTTTATGCATCAATCGTATTTCAATGAAAATGCCCATTACCTGGAAACTAAGAAGGATATTTTTACCTTCTATTGAGGGCCAGACTCCTTGCTTTATTATTGACAAGTAACGTTTCAAATGAACCAGAAAGGAAATTTATTGGAAAGCGCATTTATCATCACTCGATGTTACGTGTACACCCACCAGGTAGGTGTGATCTCTATGTCAAAGCATGATTTTCCAAAAGTTAAAAACACAACACATGCAAATATAGAACAAATGTAAGCCAAATATTTAGAAACCCATTATTGACTGACCCAGGAAAAGAGCATCTTGGGAAACTAGGAATTTACAAGGATTTATAAAAGAACATTAGAATGGGGTTGCTGATTAATGATTAATGTCCTACAGGGTAAAAAAAACCTTTGTAGTTAACATACATATCTAAAAAGAAAAAAAGGGAAAAAAAGAAATCATCAGTTTCAGTGTCTAAACTCTAATCAAACAGTAAAGGACCAAGTCAGACGTGAGTGCATTCTTCTAGGTAATTAAACCATCACGTGGACCCATTAAACAAATGTTCCTGCTTAATGTCAAAAGGTCACTCTGTCATATCCTCTTTTTGCAGTATTTACAAGTTGTGTCTAACTTTTCTTCACACGTGTAATTTAACCTTATGCCACGAAAGTCAAACTGGGAAAAAGTAAGGGTGATATTTTGAAGGAACATATTGCATATGGTCGAATGCCTTTCAGAAATAGGTGGACATAAATAATTCAGTTTTTAAAAGTTATTCAATAGGAAGCAAGGGATGCCTAAGCAGGTGGAGTGGGAACACTTCAGAAGTTAATCTCAAGAACTATACGTTGAAGCCAAGCCTCTAAAGACTCTAAAAAATGAGTGGGGAGAAGACACACAGGTTAATTTCATATTTGTTATTCCAAAACCTAGAACTACTGGTAA